CGACTGTTCAGTAGTCCGCCTTATGTAAGCATTTCAGTTAACTGTCATCAACTACTTTAATGCTATCTTTGAACGTAAACAAGTTAAATTACATGGTTGATGCTGAGCCATCTTTTTAGTATTATAATTCAAGATAATGTTACTGGTTTCTCACAAATCAAAGTTATTAGAAAAAAGTTCTTAAATTGTTCACATAAGGACATATCCTCTTGCCTTCTAACTTAACTTTGTAACTTCAGTTTAATACAAGACATGAAAAAAATTTTAACATAAAAACAACAAAAATGCTACAAAAAAATAGTGTATTGTACATCTAAAACAATCTTTGATAATATGTGGAAAACTAAACAAATAAGAGTTTTGTGAAGTGACTACACATACCAACATGGGCTAATTTGATACTTACTTAAAAGCTGCCAAACATTACATTAACATAAACCTATTAACTTACAGGCTTAAAATAATAGCAATTAAAATCTCAAAATAATTTTTTTATACATTTGATTAGCAATTTCTGTTTTCCCGAAGGGCAAGTGTACTCGCTGGAGAGAGAGAGAGAGAGAGAGAGAGGGAGGGAGGGACAGAGAGAAAGTGAGAAACACACCCTGGGGGGGGAAGACACACTGCAATCCTTTCTCCTCCATTCTCCGCTCAGGATCCTGCACACACACACACAAATACCCAGAGTGATTTTCAAGCCACTGCATCTGGGACTTGAACCGTGGTCACCCATGTGGTAATTTAGCACCTTAACCATCACATCACCTGCTGGCCCCTTGACTAGTGATTTTTAAATTCAGTAAGAGAAAGAAATGAGTAAAAATGAAAATTTTTCAAAAATTATGGAACTGAGGAGAAATTAATACTGACCAATATAAAAACATTAAAATGCTTAAAAACTTGGGAAGTACAGATGAACAAAAATTAGACTGAACAGCCTATATAGCATAAATATCTCAGATATAAAATGTACCTGTCAATAGATGATCAAGAATACATGATAAATCAATGGGAAATAAAATTAATATTCATCAACTAGTAAATGGATGACTGGTTTTCTACTTGGGAGCAGAAGAGATTCATTTAGATCCAACCTCATAGCATGTGCAAAACAAATTTCAGACGAATTAATGATGAAAAAAAGGAGAAGAAACAAAAGTAAATACTGACAAGATACATAAAAAGAAGGTTTCCAAAATTAAAAATGAAAGAATGACGAAAAAAGATGAATACATTTGACCTGATAAATTTTAAACTGCTCAGTACTCCAAGAAAATCAACTTTATTAAAGAAAGCTGGTACAAATAAGTAAACACTCTCATCCTAGTTTTTTAAAAAGGACAAAGGAAATAAAAAGGTAATTACAAAAAAGGAAATGTACCCACATAGTAAACATATTGGAAAAGACTTTGTCTTTAGGAATTAAGGCAAGATGAAATATGATTTTATTTATTAAATCAGCAATGATTCTAAAATAGTATCAATGCTGGGGCCAGCAGGTAGCATAGTGGTTAAGGTGCTGAACTCCCACATGGCCAACCGTGGTTTGAGTGGCTTGAAACTCACGCCAGGCGTGTGTGTGTGTGTGTGTGTGTGTATGTGTGTGTGTGTGTCCAAAATCCCAGGAGGAGAATGGAGAAGGGATTGTGGTGTGGTCATCCAGCCAGGGGGTGACTTCTTGTTTCTCTCTATGCCTCTCTAGTAAGCATATAACAAAGATCTCTCTCTAAAAACACAAAATAAAAACAAAAAAGTATGGGGACCAGCAGATGGTGTAACAGTTATGTTGCTGGACTCCCATGTAGCCAATAGTGGTTTGAGTCCTGGACCTGGTGGCTTAAAATTCAAGTTGGGCACCTGAGCACATGCAAGCCCAAGATCCCAAGGGGGAAAGGGAGGAGAATGGATTACAGTATGGCCACCCCCTGGAGGATGATTTCTCTCTTTCTGTCTCTCTTTCTCTGTCTGGTGAGCACATGTGCCCTACAGCAAAAATCTCCCCCCAAAAAAGTATTAATGCTGTCACAGATTCATTGAAAAACTCCAATACATTACTTCTGAGAGCATAAAAGCAATCTGACAATATAAACCATTAAATATTAAAATATTTTACACTTTTAACTCAATAACCACTATTCTAGGAATCTTAAGAAAATGGTCCTAAAATAATTATCTTTAAAAATGTATGCAATGTTATTTCTACTTTTTAATTTAAAATTATTTTTTACAGAGGATAAAATATGTATTGTACATTATAAAAAGTACACTGTAAAATATACTGTAAAAACTTTATTTAGGGTAGAGAAGGGCTTCCAAAATATAATCCTGCCTCAGAAATAAACACGTAACACTTCCAATTTATCTACTATTTCTTTCTAATTGCAAACAAGAGCAACAGCACCTCAACAAAAAACACATCCAGTGCCCACACTTTGGTTTCTAATACCATTCTCCATAAAAAGGAACTAGCATTCCTTGAAGAAATGGCTGATTCCAGGGCTGGGACATGGATACACAAGATAAGCCTGGAGCATCTTGTGCCAGAAAATAGTTAAGTATTCAAAAAAGCAGAACAGGCCCAGCGATGGTGGTGCACAGGCAGTGTCGCCACTCAAATGGCTGGAAGCTGCATGGGAGGCCCAGCTGCAGTCCCCTGGCCACCCTGAGCATGCCGCTATGGTTGCATGTACCTCTAATTCTAGCAAACCGGGACGCTGGGGCAGGAGGATAGAGACACAGTAAGACCCTGTCAAGGATACCTCTCTCTATTTCTCTCCCTTTCCTTTTCCCTTTCTCTTCTAAAAAAAAAAAAAAAAAAGAAAAAAAGCATATAACAAAGATCTCTCTCTAAAAACACAAAATAAAAACAAAAAAGTATGGGGACCAGCAGATGGTGTAACAGTTATGTTGCTGGACTCCCATGTAGCCAATAGTGGTTTGAGTCCTGGACCTGGTGGCTTAAAATTCAAGTTGGGCACCTGAGCACATGCAAGCCCAAGATCCCAAGGGGGAAAGGGAGGAGAATGGATTACAGTATGGCCACCCCCTGGAGGATGATTTCTCTCTTTCTGTCTCTCTTTCTCTGTCTGGTGAGCACATGTGCCCTACAGCAAAAATCTCCCCCCAAAAAAGTATTAATGCTGTCACAGATTCATTGAAAAACTCCAATACATTACTTCTGAGAGCATAAAAGCAATCTGACAATATAAACCATTAAATATTAAAATATTTTACACTTTTAACTCAATAACCACTATTCTAGGAATCTTAAGAAAATGGTCCTAAAATAATTATCTTTAAAAATGTATGCAATGTTATTTCTACTTTTTAATTTAAAATTATTTTTTACAGAGGATACAATATGTATTGTACATTATAAAAAGTACACTGTAAAATATACTGTAAAAACTTTATTTAGGGTAGAGAAGGGCTTCCAAAATATAATCCTGCCTCAGAAATAAACACGTAACACTTCCAATTTATCTACTATTTCTTTCTAATTGCAAACAAGAGCAACAGCACCTCAACAAAAAACACATCCAGTGCCCACACTTTGGTTTCTAATACCATTCTCCATAAAAAGGAACTAGCATTCCTTGAAGAAATGGCTGATTCCAGGGCTGGGACATGGATACACAAGATAAGCCTGGAGCATCTTGTGCCAGAAAATAGTTAAGTATTCAAAAAAGCAGAACAGGCCCAGCGATGGTGGTGCACAGGCAGTGTCGCCACTCAAATGGCTGGAAGCTGCATGGGAGGCCCAGCTGCAGTCCCCTGGCCACCCTGAGCATGCCGCTATGGTTGCATGTACCTCTAATTCTAGCAAACCGGGACGCTGGGGCAGGAGGATAGAGACACAGTAAGACCCTGTCAAGGATACCTCTCTCTATTTCTCTCCCTTTCCTTTTCCCTTTCTCTTCTAAAAAAAAAAAAAAAAGGAAAAAGAAAAGGAAAAGAAAAACACTGGAAGATGTCAAAGGGACACCAAGTCAATTGAAAAATTTCCCAATGGCCAAACCTAGTCAATTTGGGCAACAAAATAAGCAACAGACTACTGGATTATAAATCTAAAATACAAAATAAACACCAATGTGTACATACTGATGAAATAAAGGCCTGACTGAATAAATACATGGGGGAAAAATATAACTCTCTCATTCAGAAGAATTTGAAACAGTTTATGTAGTCCCTGTTCCCTCAAGGTAGTAGAGCATAATCTGCCGCACCTTAGGTGCGCACCAAACACAGTGACGCTTTCCAAACCCTGCAGTAAAGGGAGAAAGAGTGAGTAACTTCGACCAGCAGTTAGTGTAATGGTTATGTCGCTGGACTCCCACGTAGTTGACTGCAATTGGTGTCCCAGACCTGGTGGCTTAAACTCACGCTGGGCACATATGCGTGTGTGCCCAAGATCCTGAGAAGAGAATGGAGAAGAAGGGATAATGGCATGGCCATCCCTCCGGGGGGTGATTTCTCGCTTTCTGTCTCTCTGTCTGGCAAGTGCATGTGCCCTACAGCAAAAACCTCTAAAAAAAAAAAAAATAAATAAATAAAGAGTAATTTTACTGCACAGCAATCTGACAAACATTACTCAGGTGATCAAGGTTAACAATGACAATGCTAAGTCATGATGACAGTCTGTACCTTTGATAACAATGTGACCAAAATGAAACTTAACCCTTATGGTCATCCTCCTAAAAACACATGATCCCAAGCTAATCAAGAGAGAAATATCAAATGAACTAAAATTGAGGGACACTCTCCAAAACTCTTGAATAGTACTTCTCAAAAATGGCAGTCGGGCCAGGTGGTGATGCTGGACTCACAGAGGAAGGTTCTGGGTCTGTGTCCCAAGGCTCCCCTAGGCAGACTCATGGTCTGCGCTGGTGAAGGCAAGGGCTGGATGAGGGCATTAAGACCCTGCTGGAAGTGCCTCTTTCTCCCTCTTGCTCTCTCAAAAGTTTTAGAATGTCAGGGTCCAGAGACACAAGGAATGTCTGAGAGACGCCTATGGTTTAGAGGAGCTTAAGAAGACATGATGACTAAATATAATCTGCTATCCTGGATGGGATACTGACATGAAAGGAGAATATAGGTAAACACTAAAAAACTCAAAGTATGGATTTAAGTTAATAATAATATACTAGTATTAGCCCATTTGTGTGACTATATATATTAACAAGAGGAAACTGGATGCAGGATACAAAGGAATTCTCTGTGTTATCTTGATAACTTTTGTGTAAATCTATGTACCTCCTAAAAGAAGTGTTTTCTTTTTTTAAAATCATAAACATGTTTCCATGTGAAAGGAAAAAGGCATCTCAATATAATTTTTAAAGTCTGAATAATGTTCTACTATAAGAATGTACCTCAAAGTTTATTTAATCCATCTGTTAACTCCTGGGCATTTTCAATTGTTTATAACATTTCCATTTTATAAATAAAAATAAGTGAACTGAAGATGAAATTAACACACTACCCTTCTTTTTTTTTTAGAGTGTTTTGCTATAGGGCATGTATGCTTGCCAGAAAGACAGAAAGAGACAGAGAGACAGAAAGCAAGAAATCACCCCCCGGGGGGATGGCCACACCAAAATCCCTTCTCCTCTCAGGATCTTGGGCACGCATGCACACGCTCCCAGCGTGAGTTTAAGCCACCAGGTCCGGGACTCGAACCACGGTCAACTACATGGGAGTTCAGCAACATAGCCATTATGCTAACTGCTGGTCCCAATACACTACCCTTTATTAGTTCTTGAGGACCAATTTCTAGAAGTGAATCCAATGTTATTTATAACAGTAAAAACCTGGAAACAATATAAATGTCCAATAATTAGGTAATTTTAAGCAAGCTATAGTATATCTACTCGATAAAAATAGTATGCTGTCATTAAAATATTTAAACTATTTGTAGAAACATGGGCCATATTTATTGTGATATTAAATAAAAACAGCAAGAAAAAAACTGTACAACTACTATGATTAATATACAAATTTAAATTTAAAACTGCAAAAGAAAAAGAAACCGGAAGGAAATACACCTAACAATAAAGAACTACCATCTGAGTATTAGGGCTTACTAAGTGTTAGACTTCAGAAATTCTTTGTTTTTTCAACTCTTCCTATTTTCCAAATCTGTCATAAGGGGCACAGAGTCATTTCTTTCTTCCTTTTTTTTTTTTTTTTCTGCCAAAGGGTATGTGTGCTCACCAGAGAGAGACAGAGAAAAGGAGAGAAGGAAAGTGAAAAAGCACCCCCGAGGAATGGTCACACTGCAATCTCTTCTCCTCCATTTCTCTCTCCTTTCGAAATTTTGGACATGTGCACACACACAGCCCAGTGTGTTTTTTAAGCAACCAGATCCAGGGCTCGAACTGAGCAGTCTGCTATGTGGGACCCAGGTGCCTCAACTGCCACGCCCCAGCATCATTTTGTAAAATGGGAAGAAAGACCTAAAAGAAAATTTCTACCGATAGTAAAATAAACGGAAAAACAGCAACTTACCTCCAGTTTAAAAGCCAGGCCTACAAATGGGTGGGAACTGTCTCTTTGGGAATTCATTAAGATTTTGGTCTTTTCTTTTGAATCACTTAAAATAAAAAGAAATACAAATCTATGAGATATATTTGATGCTAATTTTATATCAATTTTACAGAGTATTACCTGAGAAAAAGCACATGTGAGCTCAACACCTGACCTCACATGTAAGTGAAATTTCACTGAAAAAATCCATAAGTTCTTAGGGCTGTTACTACATAATGACAGGACTAACCAGACTAAAAAACAGACATGCCATGGTATAAGAACAAGAGAAAATTATCAATGAGAGTTTTTTTTTTTTTTTTTTTTCCTAAGAGAGATTTTGCTATAGGGTGTGTGCACTTGCCGGAGACACAGAGAGAGAGAAATCACCCCAGGGGGGATGCCCATGCTGCAATCCCTTCTCCTCATTCTCCTCTCAGGATTCTGAGCATACATGCACATGTGCTAGGGGTGAATATCAAGCCACCAGGTCCGGGACTCAAACCGCAGTTAACCATGTATGAGACCAGCGACATAAGCATTATGCCATCTGCTGGTCCTTTCAATGAGAGTTTTAAAACAGATTTTTACTTAAAATTTTTGTTAAAAATATGACTGCAAACAGTGGTGACAATCATCTTTAAATTCCCTCACAGTGTATAAGCGATAGAGTATTTCTGGACAAACTTTAATTCAATTTGCAAGACTTACCCCTCTTGATTAAGAATAGCATAATTCTGGACTTCAGATGGATTTGGGAGGTATTCTAAAACTGCATCTAAAAGAGGCTGGACTCCTTTGTTCTTCAAGGCACTTCCCACAAACACAGGAGTAAATGATCTATTTAGAGTAGCTCTTCGGATTGCAAGCTACAAAAACAAAAGGAAAGAATTTAATTATTAGTCAATGTTAAAACTACACTTTTTGCTTCAGGTCAACTATGAACCAACAAATGATAAAATGAAGGATATTCTTTGGAGTTCTGGCTCTAGTGGAGACTAAATTCAGGTCAAAACACACACGCAAAGTAATTTATTGTACAACCGCTTTCAACAGGCTTAGAATCGCTAACTTTTGATTTAGCAAAAATAAAATATAAACATAGAAAATAGAAACACACACAGAATGGTACAAAACAATACGTTAACAATTGTGCAAAATAGAGGAAAAAGCAATTTATGTGCAAAAACCAAAATCTCTGGAAAGATACACCTGAAACTATTAACTGGTAACCTGCTTAGGCTATAGAGAAGAGAGAAGTGGGGAGATGGGCAATAAGGGCAGGAGAGCTTCTATTATATAATTTTGTATACTTTTTGAATGCTTAAACTGTATGAAAATATTATATATTAGAAACTTTTTTTTTTCTTGATTTTTTGCCATAGAGCTCATGCACTTACCGGAGAGAGAGAGAGAGAGACAATGAGAGAGAAAGTGAGAAATCACTCTCCTCCAGGGGAGATGGCCACACCGCAATCCCTTCTCCTCTTGGGATTTTGGCCATCAGTGTACACGCATCAGGCGTGATTTTCAAGCCTCCGGGTCCAAGACTTGAATTATAGTTGCTCATGTGAGACTCCACTGCCTTAACCACTACACCAATACTGGCCCCTAAAAAACATTTTTTAAACAAATTTTGCTATAAGGTGCATATGCTTACTGGAGAAAAAAAGAGGGAGAGAGAGGGAAAGGCACCCTCTAGCAGGGATAGCTACACTGCAATCCCTTCCTCTCCACTCTCCTGTCAGGATTTTAGGCGCACACGCATGCACACACCCACACATGCCTGGCATATATTTTTCAAGCCGCAGGACATGAAACTCAAACCACACAGTCAGCCATGAGGGATCTAGCCACTGTAACTATCACACTATTACCTGGCTCTAAAAAACATTTCATTAACTTACTTTTTTCTTTTTTTAAAAGAAACTAGGAAAACAAACAGTAACAACATTCATAAATGAAGAGCTATGATAGCCTCTTAAACACTGATCTCTAGGTCCTGCCTCATCCCTTAGCACAAGCACTGCAGCCTGTGGCTCATGAGGCCTCAGAGCACGTGTGGAGCTTTAGCTCAGGCAGCTGGAGGACAACAGAGGTGTGGTGGCCACGGCCTGTCACTGAGAATCTGGAGGCAGTCTACAACTAATTCTCAGACCTCATGAACTGAGAGCAAACCTGTTATCCCTAAAAAGTCTAAAGGAAAACATTTATAGCCACGATCTCTAAACATCACCCTAATGACATGCAGGGTAACAGCTGAGCGCAATAAGAATATGAAAGGGGAAAAGACACATGAGAAGTAAATATGATTTGAAACTATTTTTAAGACTTGGCTTTGACTGTGACTAGGAATGTGGAAGTGGCTAGGTCACTAACTACTTAGGCTATTGTAAGTTACCTGGCCGCATAGGACCCTCCCTAATGTGCAAGGAAGCACACATTCTAACCTTATCATGCTTACTTTATATCCACAGAACAGAAGCAGAGACATTTGAGGGTGGTAGGTAAACAGAAAAAGGAAGGAACTGAAACCACCACAGGGCACCAGCACATGGTGTAATGGTTACGAAGCTGGACTTGCATGCAGTTGACCACGGTTTGAGTCCCGGACCTGGCAGGTTAAAACTCACACCAGGCGCGTGTATGTGCATGCCCCAAATCCCAAGAGGAGAATGGAGGCGAAGGGACTGCAGAAGCCATCCCCGCTGGGGGGTGATTTCTCACCTTCTGTCTCTCTCTTTTTGGTGAGCACACATGCCCTACAGCAAAATTCTCTCTCTTAAAAAAGAAACAAGAAATTATCCTATACACCAACCTAACCAAATATCTAGTTTTCCAAGATTTCCGCTCATTTTCTTAACTTACACAAGAAATCACCCCCCAGGGGGATGGCCATACCGCAATTCCCTCTCCTCCATTTTCCTCTCGAGATCTTGGGCACATACGCATGCATGCATGCATACACACACACACACACACACACACACACACACACACACCCCTGGTGTGAATTTAAGCTGCTGGGTCTGGGACTCATATTGCGATCGACTACATTGGGGTCCAGCGACATAACCATTACGCCATCTGCTGGTCCCGAAAATGACCTCATCTTTAATGAAAAGGGACCTGAATCCTATCAGGGAAGCATCAGAAAGATCTCCTGTGTGAAAAATACATACCCAAAGAAACTAGCATGGGTCCAAGAGAGCAAGATGAAGTGATAAACAGAAGACTAACAACAGAGCTCACATGAGGGGAGCAATGTGGAGACCAAGCAGGCCCTACGAATGGACAGACAGAAGACTCAGAGAAAGAAAACAAAAACAGGTTACGATTTGAGGGTTTCTGCTGAAATTTGCCAAACAGAAACTTCTGGGCCTGAGCAGGATGGCTTGGAAAACACTTAGCATGGAGGTGGCACAGAAGTAGAGGTCCCACATCAGCCTGTACAAATGAGTAACTAGTTTATGTATAATGATGTTCCAAAATTCCTGAAATGCAAAAAGATACATTCATTTGACCCTGACTCAGCAGCATGACAAGGGATTAGGGCCAGAGACTAATGATGTGGGCAGTAGACCTGGGCCTGCAGTCAAGAAGAAATGTGACAACATGAAATAGTACTAGGCAGAGTAGATATCAACGCCAAATTGAGAGAAAAAGCCATTTCTAATGCTAATGCAGTCGAAAAATCCTGTCACTACTACTCATCTCTGTGAGCAAAAGAGACACATAAAAAAGAAGATGGCATAGCAATGACATCGCTGGACTCCCACATGGCCAACTGCAGTTCAAGTCCCAAACCCAGGGGCTTGAAAATCATGCCTAGCATGTGTACGTGCATGCCCAAGATCCTGGGAGGAGAATGGAGGAAAAGGGATTGCAGTATGGATGTCCTTCCTGGGGGATTATTTCTCACTTTCCCTCTCACTGTTTCTGTCTCTCTGGTGAGTGCACACACCCTAAGGTAAAAACCTAAAAAGAGAAAAGAAGAAGAAATCAAAGAAATTTTTTTGGTAAATATTTTCACCTTGGGAACCAGCAGTTAGCGTAATGGCTATGTCGCTGGACGCCCACGTAGTCGACCGCGGTTCATGTCCAGGACCCGGTGGCTTAAAACTCACGCCGGGCGCGTGTGCGTGTGTGCCCAAGATCCCGAGAGGAGAATGGAGGAGAAGGGATTGCGGCGTGACCATCCCCCCTGGGGGGTGATTTCTCGCTTTCTGTCTCTATGTCTCTCTCTCTCTGTCTGGCGAGCACACGCGCCCTACAGTGAAAATCTCTCCAAAAAAAAAAAATTTTCTCCTTCACCTTCCAGTCATTATTATTGATGTAGTTACTGTCATCAAAATACATGGATTAACCCTAATGAATTTCTTTTATCTTTCAAAATATATTTTCATCTTTATACCCTCCAGAAACCCATCCCCACATGTTCTGTAGTCCTACCCCTTCCTAAGTCATGACAGGAATATGTATCCCATTGCTAGGCATTAAGAAAAAAATCACCAAAGGGCACATGTATTGGCGAGGGTGAGGATAGTGGCAACCTCCAGTGGGGCATGGTCACACTGAAATCCCTTCTCCCCATTCCTCTACCCTGTTGGGATTTGGAATAAACACGCACATGGTCCCAGCATGCTTTTCAAGCCACAGGGGCCAGGATTCGAACTGGTTGTTCATGTGGGATTCAGGTCCCTAAACCACTAGGCTATGGAACTGGCCCATTTTAGCCATTTTTAAATGTACAGTTTAGTGGCAACAAGTACATTCATAACATTGTACCACCATCACCACTAGTCATCTCCACAACTTTTTCATCACCCCAAACGGAAACTCCATAACCACGAAGTGATAACTCCCCATAACGCCCTCTCCTAACCCCTAGTACCATTATTCTACATTCTTTAAAAAAGGTAACATGCACATCGAGTATTTTTAGAGGAAACCAATTATGTTAAATGTACTCAGTAACATTACTAAAGCCTATCTTAGTTTGTTATTGCATCTCTAACAGGAATATCTGTGACCGGGTGATTTTTAAAGAAACGGAGATTTACTGACTCAGAATGTCGGAGACTAGAAAGCCAGAAAGTTTAAGGCTGATGTCAGGCCAGCCTACAACATGGCTAAAACAAGCGGACAGGAAGGTGGGTGGGTACAAACGGTGAGCTGCAGAGGGCACTCAGGAGAACCGACCTCTTCTTGCAAGAGCTATAAATCACTGAGTACCCCCCAAACATCAGTGCTCTATTCATGAGAATGTTGCTGTGATAACGCAATCACCAAGATCCAGTCACTACCCACTGGACCTCACCACCTCCCAACATTGAATTCCAAATCATGAAACTTTGGAGGACAAACCATCATCCAAACTGTAACAGTCCATGCACAAAAGTATCATAGCCGTTCCCCACCAAAAATTTATTTGGCTGGTTAATATATGACTTATTTAAAGAGCACTTGCCTTTAAATCAGAAACAGAGGGGATTTTTTCTTCTAGGAATAGCTCGCCAAGCTGCTCATCTGAATTGGCAACACATTCAATTAGTTCCTGCCGGTGGTCGGCTGCTGCTGCCCTCAGTTCAGGTGGAATTTCACCATATCGCACAATCTGACTAAGAAATGAAATGTTTCATTTTGGTACTTAAAGACTATCCAATTAACATAAAAACACCAATGAAAAACTTTAATGGCTAAAATACTGTTTTAGATAAGGTAGAGTTCTGATATATTCCCATTAAAATAGCAAATAAGACTAATGTGTACCTTTAAAATTCATATAGAATAGTGGGCAAAAATAAACAGGTAAAGCAATTTGCTTGAGTTTATATTACAGGTTCCATCCTTAATCCAAAAATCTGAACTCTAAAATGCTCCAAAATCTGAAACTTTTTGACTTCTAGCATTATGTCATGAGTGGAAAACTCCATACCTGACCTCCTTCATCTTATAGATCTTAGACAAAACAATCCAGTACAAAAATATACTATAAAATTACCTCCAGAGTATATAAGAAATATAAATAAATTTGATGCTCATGCTTAAATTCTATCCCCAAAATATCTGACTGTGTATATGCCAAAATCTAAAAAAAAAAATTCAAAATTCAAAATGTTTCTAATCCCAAGCATTTTGGATAAGGAATATTCAACCTACATATCACCTCAAATGTAATATTCTCTCTCAGAATGAATACTAAGCAAAACAGAGAGTGACTAGACCAAAAGACAGTAAATAAAATCTTTTTTTTATAGGGCATGTGCACTCACCAGAGTAAGAAAGAGTGCAGGAAAGTGACAAATCATCCCCTGGGGAGCCATACTACAATCCCTTCTCCAGTTTCCTCTCGGGATTTGGGGCACACACACACACCTGGCATTATTTTCAAGCTCCTGGGTTCAGGACTTGAACCACACAGCTACCCAAGTGAGATCCATGCCACCTACTAGTCCCCCCTAAACAAAATCATTTTAGAGAATAGTCTCCCAATCACACTTAAAAATGAGTTTATCTACATTTAAAAAATTTTAAATGTCCCTTCCTTCTCTTCGATGCTTTTTGAAATGTGTAAGTTTAATAATGTATTTTTAACACTTACCCAAAGTCTCCATCAAAATAGATGGCTTGTTCCTCGATAAGATCTATGATGCCTTTAAAGTTACTCTCCAAGCCAATGGGTATCTGTACAAACGCTGCATTATGATTCAATTTAGACCTGAAACATAAAAATACACTTGCTTACCTCATCTCCCCAAATCTCTCTGAAATGATCAAATAAATGTAAAAATAAGCAAATACAGACATCGTAAAACTGAGAAGGGGGTTAAAAGCAGATCAGGACTGGGAACCAGCAGTTAGCATAATGGCTATGTCGCTGGACTCCCACGTAGTCGACCACGGTTCGTGTCCCAGACCCGGTGGCTTAAAACTCACGCCGGGCGCATGTGCATGCGTGCCCAAGATCCCGAGAGGAGAATGGAGGAGAAGGGATTGCGGCGTGACCATCCCCCCTGGGGGGTGATTTCTCGCTTTCTGTCTCTATGTCTCTCTCTGTCTGTCTGGCGAGCGCACGCGCCCTACAGTGAAAATCTCTCCAAAAAAAAAAAAAAAAAAAAAAAAGATCAGGACTGAAAATATAAAACAGTTAGAAAAAGACTGACACTTGAGCTCACAAGCTCAGTAACCACAACCCTAGCTGGATAACCAAAAGAGAAAACCTCCAAAATAAGTATTTTCCCATGAGATTTCCTGAGAGCAAAAGTGAGTGGCTGGCCGGGAAATTACAGGACAGAGGAATAGCCAAGACCATCTCTCATGTTTAGATCAACTGACTCCGCCAAAGATGAGCACAGCCATCTAAACGAGTTTTCTGTTTCTGTGTTTTTATAAATTAGCCGGCAGGGGGGGAGGTGTGACCCTCTATCCTCAGAGAGTCTGAGAGGAGAGAGTGAGAAAGCATCCCCTACGGGGATGGTCATGCCACATTTCTCCCTTTCGGTATTTTGTGCACACAGCCACAGACACCCAGTGTGTTTTTTAAGCCACCAGGTCCAGAACTCGAACCACACAGTCACCATGCAGGATCCGGTAACCTTAACCATCAGGCCGTGGGCTGGCTCAGAAGGAGTTCTAAAAGGAAAACTCTTGGTGGATGTTTGAGGCAGACACACCACCAGCCGGGCACGCTGCACAGAAGCTGTGCTCTCTGCAGGGAGCACTCACTGGAAAAGAAACACGCTCCAGCTACCATGACTGACTCTACACTCTAATTTCTAACTAGGAAGAGAGCAGTAAGAATCACCAAACATTGAAAGAAATCAATAGCCTAAAAGAGAAGTATGAACTCCAGAAATAGCACTAACCCCCAACAAGAGTTACTAGAGAAAAGAAAATGCAAAGATTTGAAAATCACTTCTGTTTAAAGATGTTGCAATAAAGAGAAAATTTATGAAAGCTACATAATTGTTAAAACAAACCAAAAAACCCACAGGCTATATAACAGAAAGAACACAGATAATCATCAAATTAGTAAACTGGAAGAGTAATCTGAAGAATTCTCTCATATCTTAGTGCAAAAATGAAGAGACAGAAACTAAGAAAAGTTAAGACACAGAGGCCAGATCTAGAAGTTCCAAAATCTGTTTAACAGAAGTCACAAAATGTGAATGAATGCAGATAAATGGAATAGAGGGAAAAAAATTAAAACAATCAAATAAATACCAAAGAGAATTTTCTTGGAAAGACTCCACCTATTGAGTTCCATTTACTGTTGGGTCTATGGAAAAGCCACAACACGGTTTTGTACAGAAAAATACATCACGAGTTTTCCAATGACCCAACAAATAAGTCACTCAAATAAATACAGTTTTAAAACTTCAGAACCAAGTTTGATGACACTGAATTAATCATCCTTCTTGATAGAAGCTTTGCTGCCCAGATCATCACACTTGGTTTCTTGGGCTTAGTACCTCATTTGCTGCAGGGCCCTGGCTGGGTTAGAGCCCAGTCGGTCCAGTTTGTTAATGAAAGTTAGAAAAGGCACGTTGTAGCGCTTCATCTGCCGATTGACAGTCATGGTCTGGCACTGCACCCCTCCGACCGCACAGAGAACAAGGATGGCACCATCTAACACTCTGAGGGCTCTTTCAACTTCTATTGTGAAGTCCACATGTCCTAAATGTGAGAAACAGGCATGTGAGGGTTTTAAAGAGCAGTCTAAATTTTTAACATAATGCACTACTAAAAGATTATTTTTTCCTCTCTCTCTGCCAATTACCCAAGTCTTCTCATTAGAATGTAGATTCCTGAGCTCATGAATACCTTATTTACTTTCCCACCCTAAGGTCCAGGGCCCAAACAAGATCATTTTAAGAAGATACAAGAGCAAGGGCTGCCAGGTGGCGTGATGGTTAAGGCACTGGACTCCCACATGACTGACTGCAGTTCGAGTCCCAGACCTGGCAGTTTGCTTTCTCTTTCCCTGCCCCCAACCCCCGCTATGTCCCTCTCTGGTCAAATTAAAATATTAAGTGAATAAATAAAGTTAAATAAGATAATTCTTTACAAAAGAAAAAAGATACTAGGACATGGGCATCTCTAAAATCAGCTGGAAAATGTAAAAGGCAAGAACCTGCCTACTCACAATTTACTTGCACTATTTTTCATAGAAATCACATAAGGATGAAATGCTCTAATTTCCAAGCCAGTCTTTTCAGTAGAAACTCAGCGTTACTTTTTAGAGAGCACACGCCCTCTCAGGAGAGCAATGGAGGGAGAATAGACAGAAAGAAAGTGAGAAATCACCCCATCCCACCCCCACCCACCTGGGGAGAGAGCCACGATCCCTTCTCTTCCATGCTCTTCCTTTTGGGTACATACATACTCCTGGCAGCATGTCTTAGACTCGAGACATGCAATAGGCCATGTGGGATCCAGTCATCTCAACCACGATGCCACTGGTTGGCCGCAATGTTACATTTTTGAGAATTTATTTAATTCACAATTAACTGGGTCACATAGGAGAAACAACTAAGTATGTTTTTGCCAAAAGAAGATGCAATAAAACCAAGAAACGCAACTCACCAGGAGTATCTATAATGTTGATATTGACATCTTTCCACATGGTATATGTGGCTGCTGACTGAATAGTGATTCCTCTTTGTCTCTCTAATTCCATGGAATCCATGACAGCACCAACTCCATCTTTACCTTTCACCTAAACACAAGCAGAGCAATTCAGATTTCTCTGTTCCTGTATTCCAAGAAGGAAGAAGTCTTTACAGAGATGGAACCGAAACACAGTTAACTTATACAATTTTCCGATAAGCTAATTGTCAAACCATATTACCTCATAAAATAGATAACTGATTACAGGTTTTTCCCTGTGTTAACTGCCAAACCCTTTCCATGGCCGTCCTCAACAAGCGCAAGGTAGAGCAATCACCCTCGTCTTAGCAGCATCCTCACTCCCTCTGCACTGTCCCTGCCCACAGGCTTGCATCGAGCCATAACCAGATGCCCAAGAAGACAGATCTTTCCCAGCTCTGCTCCATGTGGATGCTGAGGACTACACAGGAAGGATTCCGCTTTTAAAGTCTATGACTTATCAAGATCACCTTCATTTGCAGAAATATCCTAAAGAGTTAAATTACTCAATGATATGGTAATGTCTTCAGGAGCATTTGAAGATGTCTTTAAAATAATTTTTGATTTATATATATGTAAATATATATAAATATAAATAAAAATATATATAAACTATTCCATTGATAATACATATCATTTTAAACTCATTTTCTACTTAACACTATACACATTTTCACATATCATTAAAAACTATATATAAACTATTTTAATGGCTGCTTAAGGATATATCATATTGACTTAACACTCTTAAAAGACAAACTGTTCAGAATACTCACAGTGACAGTCTCTAGCTGATTACTTAGAACATTTCAAGTCAACGTGAGCTGCCCCATTTGTGCAAGTGACTATGGTTAAAGTTCCACAGTTGCTACTGTTTTAATCTTGCTGGTTTTGCAAAGTTAATTAAATCCTAATTGTGAAACAATTAGCTCTAGTTCACCTGGGACCACCGTGAACCACGTACCTCATGCATTTTTGCAATTCTGCCAGTATAATAAAGCACACGTTCTGTTAATGTAGTTTTCCCAGAATCAATGTGAGCTGAGATTCCAATATTTCGTATTTTCTCATTAGGAATTACTCCTGATGAACACCATCGACAGGCCTTCCAATAAACCTGCAAAAAAAAAAAAAGGAGCTCCATTTAATGCTTTTTTTTTTTTTTTTTAAA